ACACACAGAGAGAGAGAGAGAGAGAGAGAGAGAGAGAGAGAGAGAGAGAGAGAGAGAGAGAGAGAGAGAGAAGGCAATCAAGTGTCTGATTACTCTTAAATATCACGGTGGACTCCAGGGACACGACCACATAAATTACAGGCGCAGCGGGGAGGAGTGAGAGAGCGACACAAACCTAGACAGAAACAGACAGAAGAAAGAGGGAAGATGGAATAAAAGCCAACGCAAGCGAAGTGGTGAGCTGACTCATACCTGTCCTAGGGCCCAGCTGTCTCCAAATGTCTGCGCGTTGTTGACTTCCATGTGGCTAGATGTGGTCATGTCGTTTACTGTCACGCTGTCAAAATTTCCACACATCCCACTGAGAAGGCCCTGAATAATAATGAAAAAAAAAAAAGACGTATTTTTGATTCCTTTTCACAGAGCTCTTGTAAATTCAGAAACCGCTTCTATGTCCAGACCTTCCAACGAGGGCCGACTCTGATGTGCACAGTCGTCTTGCGATCCCAGAGGATGGTCAGATCCTGGCTGGAGAAATGAACCACCGTGTAGTAGCCCGCCTTCCAGAGCTCAAACTCTGACCCTCGGCCCACGACAGTTGAGGGGTTCTGGAGCAGGAAGAAAAGCAAAAGAAGAAGAAGAGAAAAAAGGTAGACAAACGTTGCTGCATTAACAGATGTGTGAACAGAAAGAAACAGGGACTAAGCAGCAGCTTGCTGGATCCATTAAAAATGTAGCTCTGTGTAGAAATGTACAGGATTGCCAGAGTTGTCAGTGAAGTAGATTTTGGTGAGTCCCACGTGAATCACCAGGATTTTCATGCACACAATGCCGCTCTCGTAGCAGTCTTTGTTTTGGGCAACAATGGACACCTCGGTTTCTCCAGCGCTCTGGTGAGAGAAAGACAAACTATTACTCTTGGAAGAAAACAAAGCACCGAAAGCTGATCACACAGTGTTTAACTGTTAAAGGTGTGTGTGTGGGGGGGTATTGTGCATTTTCCAGGCACATGTCTTCAGCATGTCTTCACAACAATGCTTCGGGGGGAGGGGGGCCCTCAGGGGTGGGAGCTCGGCTGGAGACTGAGCTCCAGGGAGAAGCTATGTACAAATAGGCGGTGCTTTGTACCATAAAGCGTTTAGGCAGCTCCACATGGCTAACACTAGAGATTCAAGGGTTTCTCAAACATGCATGAATGAGTTAGAACAACTTCAAGTATGTTTTTGATGAGGGAAATGATATAAAGTTCAGAAAAGTCCACCCCCCCCACCCCCACTTTAAGAAATGTTGGAAATATCAGAGAGGTAAAATCATTCATGCCAGTCCTTTGTTACGTTAACACAGCTCTGTCCTGCTTCCCCATTCCTCCCACCAGTCGTTTTACGCCTGAATCAGAATGTTTGTTCTGCTAATTCTAATTCTATATCCCTGGGAGCGCAGGAGCCCAGGGGTTTGACACGAACACTGCCTTCTTTGTGTCATGTGCAGCTTTGCTCACCGTCTGCTCGCCACTACTGTAGCGCGGCGCACACACCGTCCTGCGTGCACACACACACACAGACGCACCTTAATCTGCCCTAATTTAAAACCAACTTTCCCTTTCAAGATAAGAAACGGGCTTAGATCTTGTTTCCCAGATTTGTATCAGTCTGAGCCTGGAAACGTTAAGGAGATGTTCCTTCTTTCACATACTTTTCTAACACCCCCGTCTATAAAAAGCTCTCTGACGTAATCAAAAATCAGAATTTTGTGCCAAAATCAAATTCTTGAAAGCTGTTTTACTTGTTTCTTGTGCTTATCGTGTACTTTTACACATGTGCTGACAGACTCTACTCACTTTCAGCAGGTAGACCTGACAGTCAGAGTAGTAGTCGTACTCGAGGCCGTCAAAGGTGTGGTAGTGTCTGTCGCTGTATACAGTGCACACAGCTGGACACGGATAGTAGCTGCAGTTAAAAAAACCACGATGGCAAACACTGACAAGACAGGAAGGAGAAACAAAAAAATTAATTAGAATTGTTACTTTTTGCATGCAGTACTCTGATTTCCTTAAAACACATGTGTCAAACTTCAAGGCCTGTGGGCCAAACGTGGCCATCTGGCTCGCCAAAGTGCACCCAGCCCCTCACAAAAGTAAATATGAAAATAGTTTTTACATCAATGGTAAACTTTATGTTTATGATTTAATGCAATAAAATAAATACATTTAAAAGGTGAAAAATAAAAATACTTGTCCTGCCACCACAACTCCATAGAGCAGGGCTATTCAACTAAATTGTTCCCAGGGCCACAGTTACTGCAGGCCAACAGCACAGGGGCCAAACATCCAGCAATTAAAGTCATTATGTAAATAAACCAAGTAATACAAAGATCTGTTACATCTGAAATAATTTATTTTGCTGCCTTTAATTGTGAATACAACATACAGAACCCTATAAAAGTAGTGATAATTACACATTATCAAAAACAAAAAGAACACATTATGCTT